CTAAGAAGATTTCCCTGATGACGAGAACCCCGAAATGGACGGTTCTACCGTTTTACGAATTGCGACCGAACTCAAGGAATTTGGCAATAAAGCATTCAAGGCTGGTGACACCGAGCTTGGTTTGGATAAATACGAGAAAGGCCTACGCTACCTGGCAGAATACCCGGCGCTTGTTGAGGGTGACCCACCCCAGGTGTTTCAAAGTATCAAGGCGTTGAAGTTCATTTTGTACTCCAACATTGCGCTTCTGCACAACAAGCAGAAGGGATATAGGGAAGCGGAGGATGCCGCAACCAAAGCTCTTGCCATCGAAGAGGTGGCTGGACCCGAGAGAGCGAAGGCACTGTACAGGAGGGCCACGGCGAAGGTTGCATTGAAGGATGAGGATGGTGCGTTAGATGACCTGAAGGAGGCACATAAGCTTGCACCCGACAACGCGGCCGTGACAAAGGAGCTGGACGCAGCTAAAAAGAAGCTTGCAGCCAGAAAAGAGAAGGAGAAAGAGGCCTACAAGAAGTTCTTTTCCTAGATGATTCGTGGAGCTTTTTTCATGTATTTTTCATACTATAACTAGGGGTTTTTTAATTGTATCGCTTTAGAATGGTCACGCCCGTCAAGCCTACAGATCGGGCATGGGTGTGGTACATTGGCTATTTCCGTGGCCAAGTTGAGTTTCTTTCTTTCCTTCCTTTTTTCGTTCTCTCTTTTTTTTTCTTTTTTTTCTTTGCAGGAGTAATCCCTTGTGAAAGCTTCAGTAGCTGGCATGATAGGTCAGCCTGAAGGTTTTAGAGATGCAAGAAATGAACCACCCATATCCAATAGGACTGTGGGAACGGGTATAAGTTCACATGCGAGAAGTAAGCTCCTGTGCTCGTACTCGAGTATGGTACGGCAGACTTACGAGTACTCGCACAATACGGTACTTGTACCTAATACCACCACAACCCCGCCTCTGAGACTTCCGGAAAGGTACTCGAGCACAGTACCAAGTGCGGTATGCCAGTCTAAGACCTACTTGCACCCGAGTAGACAATGAAGGTGATATCTTTGAATAATAGGGTGAATAACCCGCCCTCTCGGATCAAAGATATGGCATTCATACAGCGGCCGAGTACGGTAGAGCAGTAGAGACAGATACTGGCATCATTCGTACGGCAATCGATATGCCAATACTGTAATTGTGGCTCTCCTCCCCTTCCCCGGGGACCATCTCCTACCGTAATATCAATACGATAGCTATCACAGTCAATCAGGCTCCGAACTTGACGCATGCAAGCAAGCAAGCACAGTACGGCAAGTGGATAGGTTGGGTAGCTGGGCGCTTTCCCTCCCCCTCCCCAACCCCATACCGGTATTTGATAAAAGTCTTGATTGGAGCGCTAGCCTAGGCTGCTGTACTTAATGCGGGCGACGAAGGGTGCTCGAGTAACAGTCAACTATCTACCGGTACCCCAAACCACATTAAAGCGGTAGTTTTGGGCACCGAGAGGGACCACCTTTCTGTAACTCCCTGGGCAACTGTTTCACAGCGCCGGCGTGATGCAAGCTATGGAAGTTTCTATGGGATAGTGTACTGTACTACAGTGCAGGGTGTCAAGGGTACGGGTATGTCTGTCGGGGTCCTCTCGAGGGTTCGACGGGCTTTTTTTCTTCTTTCTTTCTCTTCCTTCCTTCCTTCGCCAAATTTAGCGTGGATTGGCCGAGCATGATACCTGTATAATACAAATACTTGTAGCTGCGGAGCGAGCGGTTACACACGTTGTCGTTTCGATGGATGAGCTAAGGTTCGAAGGACCTATGCTCACATCCTAAGCTCGGTGCAGGGGGAGGGGCTATGGAGAGGACGGGCGTGGGTGTTTCTTTTCTCCTTTATCCTTTTCTTTCTTTTTTTTTCTTTTTTTTTTTTGGGGGGGGGGGCTGGTTCGGTAAACTGACTGCGGATGTAGACTACGAGTAATGACTCTTTTGCCAGTGATGGGGGATATCGTGGATTGGCGTATAAGTACTATACAGTAGGTGAGTGGCTCACGGTGGTGGTAGCGGTAATAGTCTAAATTTGCATCAAGCAGTCGATGGAAAGACGGGACACCCGGTATACGTATGAGGACAAGGAAAGGAACGTATAGTACAAGTACGGTAAGGGGGACTTCTAGATCTTTCCATTTGCGCCCGCGCTATGGTGCCATCTGCTGTATCATAATATTATCATATAATATCATAAGGGCGCTTGAACTATTACAGCCTTCAGGAGAACCTGGCTCTGGTCTGCAGCGTCTTGCGAGGCCCGTGGTACGGTACTGCACCGGTACCTTGCTTTGGTGGAGTCGAGTAGCATCTCCCTCATAGGTTGGGTAGTTTAGCTGTCACTTTTTTCGAATCCTATCGGATAATAGTATCATAATAATTATTATTATAGACCTCATCGTAATATGGCATGTTCGTCTTACTGAAGTCATTGCCCGGGCTTTACTCGAGTGCACGCCATCTGGGTTTGTGAGGGCAATGAGGGTCACTGCGGAGGTGACAACGGGGTGCATTTCGACATCCTTCGATACAGACGAGTTGTCCAAGGCTGTTTTCGCCAGATTAGCATCTCATGGGCCGGGCTCGCATGTGTCTGTACAGTACAGTACACTGGTATAAATTGCTCGACACTTGACAACAGCCTCGCCGGTAATAAATAAATATGCCGGAATGAAGGTTGACGGGTCCCGGCGAGTTCGTCGGCAAACCATGAGGAAATCTACTTTGTGCGGCCGAGTTGAAAGTCCGTTGCCGTACTCGTACTTTATTGGGGGAGGTGGGAGGGGGGATTGTCACTTCAGGTGCCCGGCCGTGCGAGTAAACCATCAACTTACGATTTGTTAACCCTAGGCGTGGGACGTGGACTACAGGGAGGGAGTGAGGAAATAATGTCTATCTTGAAGGGCTATAGGCTGGCTCCCAAGATGATGTTCGAGTGAATGATGGTTTCTTCTCTAGGACTGGGAGTTGAGAGTCTTTGTTCCGCGGGTTGTTTCTCGTGGAGATGAATTCCGTTGGATATTCTTTAGACTTGGGACTAGTGCCCCCGTTGACTGATCTCTTGGCTCGGGCAGGTGAGGTGCTCTTGCCTGTGGGATTTTATAGTAGCCTTCTGGTTCAAGTTTCGCCGGATAGCTCACAGTTCAGGAATCTCAGTCTTCCGGGCATTCCATTTTTTTTTTTTTTAGTAAATTCGGGACCAACTTAAGTTATGGTTCCAATTCCGGGGGAAACGGGTGGGATTGCCCTTTAAGTTAGCGGGGGTGGTGGTGGGTATGAGCAAATAGTAGGAACGCTTGGGAAGTTAGGCTGTGGTCTATGAACGGGCGATGGGTGGATTAGGTTCGCTTTAGTTTTTTATGGCAGCTCGGTGTTTGTTTAGAATGAGGTACGAGTACAGTACAGTGGACTAGACTAACGGTTGGTCTATGATCAACGTGGGTATGGTGCCGGATACTATTAACGGAGGTTGAAAAAAAAAAGATCATTGACCGAGTGCTCGGATTAATACGGGATGGTGAAGGATGGAACACTCAGGTACTCGTACAAGACTGAGCTCCTCTAACACGAACCTACCGTATCGATAGGGGGAAGATGTCTTGCCTGACGACTGGGATCCGGATGGCTAGGGTCACCGTATTTTCCGCGAAATGGGTCGGTCTATTCTTCAAGAGCCCATCGAACGGGAGGCTCGAATAACTTGAAGCAACTGTCGGACCCGACTTCGTCTCGTTCGAACGCAAGATATGGTATCTCCATCGTAGGGACTTGGACTGCAGGCCATAGCAGGGAAGTATGGAGGAACAACATGGGACTCTTGCGTTTCAGCCTCTAGAGGGGGTGGCTGTTTTCTCCACCGGGTGCAGAGGGGTCTCCAAAACGCCCAGAGAGGCATCCAGGGCGCCACTTTCGGACCCCGTAATAAATCACTCACGTAAATACTCGACCTGACCTGACCGCGGCGGAGCGGGCAGTGCCGCGTAGGAATGCAAGTCACAAACCGTCTTTTAGATACTGGCAGTGACAATACTGTAGGGAAGGATTTGGTTATGCGCTCCCCAAAGCCCCCTTCCACTGTCCTCGAGTACCGGTACGAGTACTGAGAGTGGTTACCGGTACTGTACTCGCATTGCGGTGCATGCGGACCACAACGTGGGGAATTACTCTGCAGCGCAGAGCGCCTTGTTGATCGGAGGGGGGCAAAGAGAGCAGGTACTGAGTACGGTAGGCGGGGTTTTCGCTATGCACCATAGCATCATCGACCTTTGTTCCTTCCGTATGAGATAGAGATCAAAATCCGCAGGGGGTGGGCGTATAGCGGGGGGGTTTTACAAAACTTGGTATTTTTCTCGCAAGTTACCGGATTGGTATTGTATGATCATATGGAGGTGCCTCCTTACGGTGCTTGTATCCTATCATGTCGATTACCCTGCAGCGCATGAAGGAGGGCGAGGCGACGCAGCAGTTATGGCGTCGCCGAGGTTACTAGCATTTTCATACTCGGGCAGATTCACCGCTCACAGGAAAAAAGTGAAGAATGCATATTCGAGCGCTGTTTGTGACTGTTTGTGAACGAATGGAAGAGCCCTAATTGGTGGCTTTTGCGTGCGGACTTTTTTAGAACATTGGAGGGGAGGGTTTGATGGTCTAGTTTTGAATTTTTATACCTTGCATATGCTTTTATTTATACGGAGTATGATACTTTGTCTTTTCGTAAAAGTGGGATTGGAGCTACATTCTGCTCTACTCTACTCGAGTATGGTATCAACTCTCGAGGACGAGGTTTGCATAGTATCATACTTCGTACGATACAGGCGTGCCTTCTGTGGGCGTGGTTTTGGCAGCTGCGGAAATGAATGTCGGAATAAGTACCGGTGGGGAGGTTGTTAGGGTGCCGGGTTCTACAGTAGACTACTCGTACGCAGTCGTTGGGCACAGGGTAGTCGAGTATTGTGTAGTCAGCAGCTTTTTTCCTTTTTTTTTTTCCCTTTGGTTTCGTCTTGGCCTTCTCGCCACGTCAAATGGGAGGACAGACATACGCTAACCCTTTTTGTACATTTTGGCGGGGAGGGGGTGGGAAAAATAGAATGGGAGACAGCCCTGAACACAGGCCAAAACGGGACCAATTTCTGTCGTCCCCTCGCTCGCCCATGCTTAAAACAAACTCTCGTCACTCCACCATCACCCCGTTCCTTCATTCCTTTCATCCACACCAACGCCTCAGTCTCTCAACCCCTCTCAACCCCACTCCACCACACCCCTTCCAATCCAACCTTTCTCGACAAACCGTCGACATTGATTGCTGCAACCAACAACTCTTGCTCGCTCTTGAACCATGGCGTCTAAATACGCCCAGAACCCGCGTCAAGGCTCTCAGTCTCCGTCGGCCCTCGCCGCTCACATCGTGAATGACAACGACTCCGGTTACGGTTCTATCGTGGAAGGTGAAGGAGATCATCCTGCTGTGGTTTTGAATCCGGGACAAGCGAGTAAGTTGAATCTTATCTTTTGATCCCGCCATCATTTCTCCCCTTCATCGATAATTCTCCGGATGTTACTGTTGAAAGGAAGAAAAGAAAAGAAAAAAAGCAGATGCTGACTCTTGATTACTAGCCGATGCCGATAAGAGATTGTGGGCTAGCCATGTCATCCAGCTTCATTAGTATGTTTGTCCTTTTTCGGTATATTTGTTTGATAAGGGATGTTGTTTGTTGACGTTTAAACAGCAATCAGAATCGTGTTGCTCTTGGCCGCTCTATCGTCCATGTTATAGATACACTCAAGGTACTTGCTGGCTTGGATGTCTGGGTTTACTGTACGCTAACCGGGTATCCAGAAATTCCAACACAACAACAGCAAATGGCCAGCCCATTACCCATCTGTTCAACGCATGGTAGAGGCACCATCGCTAGCACGTACTCAATCATCTGGAGACGAGGGTGCGACGACAACGGAGCCCCGTTTGGTCACCCCACAGATCGCGCAGGAGTTCAACGTTTTGAAGTTGGATCTTAAGCTTGGGGCGCTTTCACCATCGGAGCTCGTTCACTCGCTCGAAAAGTCGTCCATTGCTTCTTTGTTGGATGGAAAGATTTCTCAGTCTATCAAACACCTTTCTGCTCTTAGGGAGAGAATTGATGATACCGCATCGAAAGTGCTTGTTACTGGTGATTTGAATGCTGGAAAATCGACATTCTGCAATGCTCTTCTCCGCAAGAAGGTTCTCCCCGAGGATCAACAACCCTGCACGAGCATCTTCTGTGAGGTTTTAGATGCTAGGGACAATGCTTCGGTTGAGGAGTTCCACGCAATCCCCATTGATGGACCAGCATATAACCGCAATGACGAGAGCACATACGATGTTTACCCATTGGAGAAGTTGGAGGAAATCGTTATCGAGAATGACAAATATTCTCAGGCCAAGATATATGTGGAGGATGCCCGATCGGTTGATCAGTCTCTTCTCCGCAATGGCGTTGTCGATATCGCCCTCATCGACGCCCCCGGTCTCAACCTTGATTCACTCAAGACCACTGCCGTTTTTGCTAGACAGGAGGAGATTGATGTTGTTGTTTTTGTTTTGAGTGCGGAAAATCATTTTACTTTGTCAGCTAAGGAGTTCATCTGGGATGCCGCTCGCGAGAAGGCATATATTTTCATTGTCGTCAATCGTTTCGATAACATTAGGGATAAAGCTAGATGTCAACGGCTCATATTGGAGCAGGTCGCTAGTCTTTCGCCAAGAACCCACCAGGACGCCAAGGAACTCGTACACTTTGTGTCATCCAACGCGGTCATCGACGGAGATGACGCTGCCAAGTGCCAGGAGTTCGACAAGTTGGAGCAGAGCTTGAGGAGGTTTGTGCTTGAGAAGAGAGCCAGAAGCAAGTTGGCACCGGCCAAGACCTATCTACTTAATGTTCTTGAGGATTTGGAAACTCTGGCCGAGGTCAACAAGGAGGCTACCTCAACCGAGTTGTCTAAGGTCCGCGATGAGCTCAACAAGATTGCGCCGGAGTTCGAGAAGTCTGTAACGGTGCGCGTGGAAGTCTCCGAGGGTGTTGACAATTCAATTGACGAGACTTGTGCTGCCGTAACCAAGTACGCACGTAAGACCATCGCCGGCACAATTTCCCGTCTCAGCGAGAGGCCTCCTGTCCAGTATGATGGTATTTTTTCAGCCTATGCTTTCGCTGAGGCTACCAAGAATGCCATGCTTGAGAAGATCCAGGATTCCGTCACTACCTCGGAGGAGTTTGCCAGGACCCAGACCACCCAGGGTGTTGCACGAATTGGGTCCATGGGCGTCCTTCATTTGGGTAGCGAGTATGTCGAGAAAGCGTTCCGCCCCGGGTATATGTTCACTCGCAAGAAGCATCTTTTGAGCAAGAGCATTAAGACCGAGATTAATGCCTTCGATTTCTTCGACTTTGATAAGCAAGAGAAGGTTGCAGGAATGAGCTTGAGTCTCACGGTCGCTACCGTTGCTGGTGGTCAAGTATTTGGTATCAGCAGCTGGGTCGACGGATTGTGGAAGGCTACCAGTTTCCTTGGCCCCAAGACTACGAAGAAATTGATCGTTCCGGCCATTCTCGTTGCTGGTGTTGCTGGTGCGATCTTCCTCATCTCCGACATACCCAACGCTGTTCCAAGGAAGTTGGCCAAGAAGATCACAAAGGAATTGGAGGAGATGGACTACGTTCACTGCAATTCCGACAGAATTACTAAGGAATGTAGGAAGGTTCTTGGGCTCTCGGCTAACGAGCTCAGGGCTGCATTCCACAAGTCCATCGAGAAGCAAGGCGCCACGATTGATGAGAAGAGAAGGACCGAGAAGGAGAGTGAGGTCGCATTCAAGTACTTTGGGGGGCTTCTCAAAGACGCAGCTTCCCAGAAGAAGAGCGTTAAGGGATTGGATTTGGAGGGACCGGCGATCGTTTTTTAAAAAAACAAAGACAAATACGAATGGAAATGCATGCACGGGATCACTAGGGTTTTTTTTTTTCTTTTTTCTACACTCTTTAATGAGGCGAGTGATTGATTGATTGATTGATTGATTGATGATGAAATACAAACCGAACAAAAAAGAGAGATTAGGAAAGGGAGACATTGGGCTTCATTCTTTTCCTCATCCTCTTTTTCATTTTTCATTGTCGTTTTCCTTTTTTAGTGTTATCACATTGCATTTTGTCTTTCCTCCTGCTTTACTTGATTACTGGTGTCGGAGTTGTTTGCAGTCGTCCATCCCGCGTGTCACTTCCCCCCTCTCCCCATCAACTGTTATGAAACTTTTTAGTACTAACTACACGACGGTATTTTCTTATGTCCAAATTGAGAATATTTTATATACGCTTTCTTCTTTCTTTTCCGTACAGTTATCGTGCACGCCTTTTCTTTTCTCTTCTCCCCTGATATTGAGCTTTTACGTTGAAGGTAGTTATATATGTTTTTAGTGATTGCGGTTTTTGTCCTTCCTCGTGAGATGGGGCTTTCGTTGTAGGCTTAGGGAATTGGAAATGGGGGTTTTGCATTAGCGGTTGGGTTCATTTGGCCTTATTCTTATTTGCCCGGTCGATGAGGGATGGATGGATGTGAGGCTAGCTACGAGAGACGTGGGGTGTTTGCACAATTGAATAAAAGTTATCTGATATTGGGAGTTCTTGTGACAGTGTTACAGTAATTTGACGTGATAGCGTGGCGTATCATTGGGTGACGGGCCGCATGGTAGGCCTTAACTTACTCGTGCAAACCGGTACTGTGCTCCGGGCAGCGGGACAATCTCGCGCCGCTAGATGTATTCGTAAACAGGTGTGCCGCAATTGGATTTAACTTGACACACACCATCACATCATATCACACCCCCAGACTTCTGTGCTCGTGGGCAACGATCGCAATGTAGGATTCTAACTCTGTGAGCGAGTGAGACTTGATGACTGCACTTGGTCTACCATGAAAAATTCTGGTTGGATTGGGTTGGGTCGGCTTGAATGAGCGAATGAGCAAAGCAATGAAGGCGACGCAGAGAGTTTGCAGTTTACGGCCCGGGAGCGGACCGCCCGGGGAGAAGGACCAGAATTCTACAACAACTCCAGCCCGCCCGCCCGCCCTCCCCCAAAGCGCACTCGAACCCAACCAAGCCTCTGTTAGCGACCACTCGGCGACCCATATTACCCGCTGCTCCCCCAAGAGCGCACCGGCCCAACGTGCCGGTATATATATAAGGTTGTTTTCGCGGGCTCCGACTGCCACTGATCCCGATTGCGTTCTGGGGTGCCTCGCTATGGTTATTAATACCCGCTCACGAGTCGTATCACCGCTTTGAAAAGGACTGGGCGGAATGGAATACATCCTTAGCGGGAAAGGCGCCGACTGGGGTAGAAATGATAAAAAGGTTTTCGAGCGTTATAATAATATTACTATTATGATATCCGATGCTATGATATACCTTCCCTTCCATCAGTCACGTAGAGTCACTCGCACGCAACTCCTCCTCCTCCTTATTCGCTCCGGGGGGGGCGCGGGCGGTGTGTGCGTATGATACGAGGCCTACCACCAACATAGCGGAAACCCCCTTGCGCTCCGGATGGGTTTCTGTTTCTTCGAAACGGAGAGGGCTCGTGGAAAACATTTGGTCGCGATACTCACCCGACCCGACCCTACCGTACTCCTTTCCCCCCCCCCCACTCAATTGTTATGATTTGATAACGGCAGATACGGACACCGTTCTTGCCCCCCGCGGACTTATGATATTTACTTACTTGCCGGTCAGAGACTGACTTACGTGATATGGTCCAATTTTTTAAAGTGCTGGGATTCAACGGGAGCATAGAGGGGTGCGTCCATCCATCCCTTCATGCCTCCCCTCCTCCCCCTCCCGCCGAGAAATCGCACTCTCTCATCCTCCTTTTCCTATCATACTATAGTAGTGCCTTTTAAGGGCGCTGGCAAGGGGAGGGGAAAGTTGTTAGGGCGTGAGTGTGTGTGTTTCTTTGCCGCTCGAGAGGTCCGAGAGTTTTGGTGTATGGAAGGTAATCGTGCGGACCATGCGATCGATCATGGATGCACTACTTTCGCTTCTTGCTCTCGTATTCCTGCGGAAGTGCCTACCACGGCTTCGCCTGCGGTGCTTCGGAATATGGGCGGGAATGAGCGACCCGGTTGCTAGCAAGAATTATTCCTAGCCCGGAATGGATTACCACCTGCTACCGAGTGACATCTTATGAAGTCAATTGCACTACCCCACTCTCCATTCCTGCGAAAATGGAATCACGCCAGGCACACAAGCAATTTCACCAACCCCACCGAATTACCAAATCTTCTAGAATATCTTATTTTACTACTTTCCGACCCACCAACCCCTCTCCTACAAGCTAACCCACCAACGAATACATTAAGCTGTCCTTAAACATCAATTGCCTTCCTACCTGACCAACACTTAATGAAAAGATGAAAAGTAATGAGAAAAAAGGACACCTAGACCAAATGAGACATTGTAGCGTTAAAATAAAAAAAATGAACAAAAGAGATACTAATAAGGTAGAGTGAAATGATAAAGTAAAAAGAACCCTACTCCACGGCACCAATTCCATCCGATCCATCCGTTTCCATCCATTCCCAGGTTAATTCCAGTACAATCCGATCCAGGCCATTCCCGTGTGGTTCAATCCAATTCCAAACACATCCTAACCTTACCTGCAAACAAGGTTACTAACCCCCCACCCCCCAAAAAATCAAGAAACATGAATCCCAAAATCCCAAAGTGAAAGAACAAAAAAAAAACTTTTGTAAAAGTAAGTTGAAGCGTTTTGCTTTTTCCCGAAAACCAATGCCCCCGTCTATAGCATGATGATAAAGGAACTAGGAAGGGTAGAGAACGATAGATGACCGAAAAGAAAAAAAGGGGGGAAGGTAAAGAAAAGGATTTCCGGGAAAGAGATGGTGAAAAAGAAAAAAAAGCCGTAACAATCATTCATCTTCCGACCCAGCAAATGTCCCGCGACTTTTCACTTTTTTCCTAAAGCCGCCCACGAACCCACTAAGTTTACTTCTCGTCGCGCCGGAATGGTGGTAGTCTTCCTCGGAGCCTCGCGCACTGGGTAGGCCAACTACCCGATGCCCTTTCCCAGGTATGGTCGAGAAAGAAGCCTGTCCAGGGGCCAATAGAGGACTCCCGGTAGCCTTTTCCGCGACCTCTTCCCAGCGTGCACTGAGTGAGCTGCTGGGCCGCTGTGCGCTCTCGGCTTTTGATACACAGATGTTTATGCGCTCCTGGATCTCTGAGCATATTTTATGGAAACGGGCGAGGTCGCCTTCGAGGTGGTAGTCTGGAGCTTTGTCTTGGTAGACGGGATGCCACTTCTGCCACATTGATACGAGTGAGGCGAAAGCGCGGGGTTGGTCGATCAAGTATGGGAGGGAGGGGAAACCCTCCTTTGATGGCTGGGAGAGGCGGGAGAGGATGGTGATTGGGGTTGCGTATGATGGGGGCACGGTTTCGGTCGGGTATGGGGATGGGGGGATTGTGGTGATGGCGTCGACGAACGACTTCATCTCAGCACTATGTGCCTATGAATTGTTAGTCTGTTGGAAACCGGTGGTATCAAATTAGGTAAAACTCACCCCAAGGAATTCATTCATTGGCTCCATCCACGGCTCCTTGACACCGAAAGTCGACATATTCGCGAGCCCTTGCAGACTCTTGGCGACAAGAGTTAATGTTCGTTGCGCCCTTACTCCGGGGTGATCTACACACAATTTCAGCACCGTCTCCTGATAAAGGAGAAAATAAAATAAAAATAGGTGGACAAGCGTACCTTTCAGGAGTCCAAAAAGCTTCGGATTCAGAATCGCCGGGCAGAAGAACCGCAAGAACAAGAACCCGCAGACACTACTATAACACACAGTCTTCAGCAGGTCCCCATACCGATCCTCCACGCAAGCTCTAATATGCCGCAGTATCTTCCTCAACTCCATCGGGCACTTTTCATGACTATTATATATCCCCTTCCAAATCCCCTTGACAATCCCCATCAAAATCCTCCAATTCTTCATCAAGTTCTCGCCAGGCTCCATGCGTAACGGGTCGACCTCACAGTATGTATCCTCTTCCGCTACTTCCCTGAGAAGTTCGCCGAGCGTTTCCTCGAGGTACTCCCTACCAAGCCGTTTCATATGGGCATCGAGAGCTTTTGTGAGGAGGGAATTCCCGCGGAACAGAATATTGGCATCAACAAGTCCGGCCTTTCCCACATCGCGTCGATATTGATCCGAGTCACAATTAGATTCGTTGGAGTCCCTATGCTTCCCTAATCTTACCGGTGGGGGCTCCTTGTGCAACCCGTCAATCTCGCCCTCAGCCAAGGACATCAGCCATTCACTCGCTTTTCCGCTGACCTGATAGATCTTGAGAAGAGTATCCGCTAATCGCCGAAGATCCGGGCCAACAACTTGTGCTATCTCCATTGTGATGCCACTCGAGAAGTTATGTAACAGCTGAATTTAAATTAGCAGCTGTGCTAGGGAACGAATAATCGCCACTTACCTCCGAAAGTTCCCTATACTCAAGAGCCATGAGTACAATTAACTCCTCCATTCCAATCTTCAAAAACATCTCACCGATCCTCTCTTCGGCGCCCTTTGCGGTAGACATCAGCGGCCACCATCGTTCGGTATCAGTCTCCATCCCTAATTCATCAAATTGAATCTCCACAGTACCAATAACGGCATCCTTGCTACCCGGCACACTAACTCCACCAAGCCCTCCGCCAAAGCCCCCCGACCCAGTGACAGATCCCGAACCCTTCGTCTTCCATCTCGGATGCCTTTGCTTCAACACCACGCCCACATCTGATAATATAGCAGGTAAGTCGGGAAACTCATAGTCCTCCCTCCAGAAAGGATTATGAGTTTTTGTCCTAACCATGGTCTTGGCCCTGACCTCCCCATCCAACACCACCTCTGCATAGCAATCCATGTTGTCCTTCCCTCCGTGCTCGGCACCAGGCATCGATATCTTCGCCTCCACCACCCGCAGGAATAAGCTCCGTTGTATGCGGTACGAATCCACCAATCCCTCAGCGGCAGGGTGTTCCGATATCCCGGTAGCGATATCTGGGGCCGGACGACCATTCGATGAGGAAGCAGTTCCCGCAGGTCCATACAATTCCGGCATGGTGAATGCCCGAAGTAGCACAAACCACACTTCAAACAGTATCCGACTATCTATACCAAGATAAACAGGCCTGGCCAGGGAGACATTTGAGGAAGGCGTATACTGTGGGTATATTGCTATACAGAATTCCTTGTCAAGAATACTAGGATCCAGCTGTTGCACAGCGCATCGGGAAAGCTGGCTCAGCTGAATCACAGCCAGAAGTGCGGTATCCAGCTCAGTATATAGCCTAAATTCGCCATTCTCCTGCAAAGTACATGAGACTTTCTGCCAAGCGACAGCTCCGGTGTGCCCCTTGTTCCTGCTTGACCCCTTGCCCGATGTCGAGGAAGCTGTAGTGACAACAGTCGGCCCACCCCTTCTCCATTTCAGCATTTTCCCAACTTTGATGATCGCAGCATCCTTTGAAGAGGTTGCATCCGAATTTCTCCTTCTATCCGCCTTCCTCTCCTGAGCCAACACAAAAGCTTGTGGCTTCACCATTTTGTTCTGGGCCCCCGCAGGTGCTATTGGCTGCCAGCAGAGCAGCGCTGCAAGCCAGGGCATAAAGTGATTGGGATCCATCGGACGAAGTTTGATAGTAATATTTGTAGAATGCGTGGAAATCTCTATAATCCCGTCGCTAGCCTCATCCGATACCGCTATACTCTTCACCTTGCAGCTGCGCAAGTCCGGCACTATAACACTGAGAGGGGTCGAATTGATATTCTCCTCCCTCTGGTGAACCAAGCTTCCAGTGTCCTCATTGATAAGACAATATCCCTTAGTCCATGTCATAGTATCGCCAACCCGAAATTCCACATGACCTTCCATCCTCCCCCGCACATCCTTCATCAACCGTAATATAGTGCTCGTGTCAGCAGGTGTAGCTGGTGGAGACGCGAAGTGTGCATCAGAAGCCTTGGCACCAGAGTTAAGTGCGTTGACTGAATTCTGCGGCCGGAGGAACCGCTGTCGACTGGGTTTACCGGGTGGCTTCGCATGGATTGGAGATAGGGCAGTAGTCGACGGGAACCCTACGGAGGCGGGTATCGAGTCGGATGATTCGTGAGATGAACTAGAAGCAAAGTTACGATATCGAGAACCGTACGAGGATGTGCTCGAAGAATACATAGTGTCTGTAGTACCAGGCCTGTCACCGGAAGAGGGAGAGGTCCTCTTCTTCCTCTCATCTACCGGAGACCCATTCTTACTCCTGCCGATGCTCAAGTCTGCGAACTGTGGGAAACCTGACAGTGGCGTCCGGTTTAGCAGAGCCCGCGCCTTCCCCGGCGAAGAAGGAGTAGACGGTTCTGCTGGATCCCTCCCCAACGTATCAAACATGGAAGCCGACTTATTCGAGGATCTGGAAGGCGTTCGTGGTGGCGTGGTAGGTGAATGCTGTGCGGTTAACGAACCATCCGTATCCTCCCCCCCCTCCAGTTCAATGTCTGGTGACACCGCGCGAATCGTCATCTCCCGGCGATAGGGCATCGCGGGACCTGGCAAGGAGTTTGAGAAGGAGTTTGTGAGCGGCGGACTACCGCGGGCATACACTGGACTGACACTGGTGCATAGAGGAAAATATAGCTCGTTTGGATTGCCCACCCCATGAATAGCGGCAAGCCGATGGTTCGGGTTAGAGTTCGTTCGTCCAGTCATCGGCCACGATGTGAAGCTCCCTGTCAGCTCGCTGGATATTCCTCCTCCTCCCCTATATGCTGCTGATTTGTTCTTTCAATCCAAAAACACTGAAAAAGGAGGAGCCGGTCTTTCCAGCAGAAAATAAAAAAGTAACGGACGAGGCTGAATGCTTAGGAGGGTTGTTGAAACAGGGCTGATGGCTCCGCTTTATCAAAGAAGTGCGGCTCTTGTGTGTGGAGGCTAAACACCCAGCCTTCTAGACGGAGAGGGGAGTGCGCTGAATCGCAAAAAAAAAAAAAAAAAAAAAAGAGTAATGACGGTGAACCTGGTGCGTCCGCTAAGGCTTCTGGCCTCAGTTTCCCATTCAAGTTAAGATAGTCTCCTCGATCACAACCTTTTCGTGTCCCATGTGTTGCTGGAAATACAAGTACCGTAACGTGAGTGAGCGGGCCTACGACCACCACTAATCATCCCCCGGAATATAAATTACCAATGCGGGTTCCCAATCCGAAATCCAGGTCCGGTAAGAGGAATCTCTTCAGCTCGGAAGGTTCGATCGTCGTCAATGCTAGCCTAGATTGTGGTTTTATTGCGTTCGATCTCCTTTCTCCTTCGGCGAGGTGATTGGTGCGAGGGTGAATATGGGGAAGGAATAAAAAGAAGGTTCCGAGAGTGCGGAGGAAGGGTTTGCGGTTCCTTTTTCTTGGGGTAACGTTGGAGCGGAGGTGGATGGGGGTAGACTAATGTGGTTATTTCTTTGTTTTTCTTTCCCTCTCTCCCTCCGGTGGATAGGTTACTGCACAAAAGGTACGGTGCAACCAACAAATTGGGATGGATGGTCAAGTATTAATCTGTGGAAGGGAGAAAAATGCAAGATACGGAGTCAGAAAGTATCTCTCAAGAGAGAAAAATAAATAAAAGGCTGACCAGCCACCTTGCGCTCCTTATGATCAAAAATGCACCACCTCTGCAAAAGCTGTAGTAGTGGAGAAGGAGGTGGTGGCAGAAGTGACAGTAGTTGATGTGGAGACGGAGATGTCGCCCATGGATATGGGTATGGAAGCCTACGGATATGATAGTATGGAGGTACTCGAATGAGAGAGGGCGAGAGGTAGTCGTGGTAAAATGGGATATGGACAGGTAGAGCTCTAGAGCGAAATTGTTGAAAGCAGAAAGAGAGCTCTTCCTTTCAAGGGTGTACCTTGGCACAATACTTTGCAGTATGCAGTGTTTACCCGCAGTATCCCGGAGGTGAGGTGAGGGAGTAGAGGGGGTGGTGGTTGAGGGGAGCGAAGGGAAAGGGTTTGTCTGTGTGGGGGGATTATACTTTGGAAGGAAAGGGTTCAATTCAGCAGGCCGAGGGGGGGAAAAGTGAAGCCGTCACTTATAGAGCACGTAGTTCGGGTTGCATTCACGGACGGAGCGCTTAGCCAGAGCTCTCTTATCGGAGATTGGAAACGGGGGCCGGAGAGGAAAGAAGGAAGGAAGGAAAAGAGGTGACCTCTGGATAGATCTCGTGCCTTCCCAATTGCCTATTGTGATGCTATCCCGGAGAGGACTGCGGCAGTGCGAGGTTGAGCGGAATGCCGTTGATGAGTGGAGGTGGAGGTCAAGTCTGATGAGCGGAGGGGGGAGCTAGGTTGGAAGCAGTTGGGGTTGGAGATGGGGGGAATTATCTTCAACGGATGAGGAGGATCTCTCCACCGTGACGACGCAGAAAAAGCTACACGATGATACCGGCATCGCATATATCACCTCAATCACGTTTCCCCTCCCCTTTACATGCTTCTTTTTTCCATCCTAGATCTTTTATCTCCTAAACCTCCCATAGAGACGCATTAGGGGAGAGTGAAGAAAAGAGGAAAGAGATAGGCCGCCTCCACAATAATACAGTGCAGGGCTGCACAGTATTACCCAGGCACCGGTACTTGGATAGCCATAGCACTGCGCAGCCAATACTGTACTAGTACAGTACGAGTACAGTACTATGATGCGGCACATCAGTCGGCAAGTACAGTACCCAAATATTCCCGTCCACTCATACTGTACTCGAGCGCATCCGTCGTGATCTTCACCAATGATTCACTTGTCATTTTCTTTCACTGGGCGACTCACACGGATGGCAGATGGGTACGAGTACAGCACTCGCTGGCCTTGGTTGGAGATCCGTGTTGGCGGGATTAGGCCCCGGATTGGTGAGTGGGTGTAAAGCCCTCCATGTCTCCCCGTGCCAAAGGTTGGTTGATTCGGAAACACACACCACATGCATCACAAACCCATTATGCTCATCTCTTCTCTCCTTCCAGCCTCCACCGTTCATCTCCCCAACACTCTCCCTGCCGCCACCACCACCACTAAAATAAGATAAAGAGTAGTCATTTCAGAGAAGCAATAGCCGCCTTCTGGTCCATACGGGTACCCAAAGCTTTTAGATGGTCATAAGCCATTACCACCACCACCACCATCAATACCAGCATCACTACGCACATTATGGAGAAACAAACCCCCCTATCACAGTAATCTATTCCCAAACAACCATCTACAAGCACCGTACGAGTAGAATATGAATCGTAAAGCAAGCGAGCAACAATCAAACGACTCCTGCATAAACATTCTACCCCCAAACCCCCCTTCCTTCCTCGGACCCCTTCCAGAAACATGCGACGCGGGTTCACACAACTGCTCGAGTACCGTACCGTACAAGGAAGACAAGTGGCCTCGTGAAAAAAGAAAGGCAAAGCCAATATTACTGTACAAGTACAATAACCCCGGGAGGGAGGACAAAGATGGATACTAGGAATATTATGGTAACTGCCGGTGCGCAAGAGATGTCTGATAACGACCCGAATCGGAATTGAATGGTGACGAGTACGATTATCACTTGTATATTTTTGCTCACTTGTACCGGCAATCAGGTACTCAGTAAGTAGAGAGATAGGCACGGACCGGACATCGGAGGCTAAAAAGGAATAAGGAAAAAGAAAGGAATGAAGAAGAAAAAAGAAAAAAAGAGTGTGGACCGGGCAGCTGGCAGGATGGGATTGTCTTGCATCCTTGCCGGCAATGAGAAACGTCTTGTATTCTTGTGGTCATGGCATTTGCGGATCAATATCACATAGACTACCAACTAGTACAGTACTGTACTGTAGGTGTAGGTTAAGTTCACTTGCAACATTCCGCAACACTCTTCCTCAGTTACTCTACGGCACTCACCTTATCCCAACTCCAAAGGCCTTCACCGACTCCGGGGGGTGGGACGCTTCACGATACTTGTACATACAGCGCCGGAAATATATACGAGTACTCGAGTACATCCGCCATAGCTATCCTTGTATGCGCGACGACTGATAAATACTCAAAATGCACGAGTTTGCTTAGCAATACCGGCAAATGCCATATTATAATATATATACTCAGCGGAAGCCTGCCCGCACGAAACCCCCCGACCCGGCATGCCGATACCAACTCCCCACTCCACACTTGTACGTAGCCACAACCACTTGTAGTTTTGCTGTGTGTTTGTCTGCGTGTGAGCCATGTCCCCGTGGTACAGTTCTATATGTCACCTCAGACTAACATGTCCTGCAGGAACCAAAAAACGTACTCCTCGGAGGAATGACTGTTTGGACTTATGAAGGGAAAGCTTTTGCTCTTCTGACTGCATGCTGTAGGGGAGGGGGGGGTATCCGACGTACCTGCTGTGTGCTACGCTACTGAGTGTACGGGTGCCAATTTGATTCGGTCATTGTGGTGAGCGGTGAGTAAGACCGAACCACCATAGCCGGTGTTCACACCACACTACACATGACTTTTAGACTGCTGCCCTCGCACAAGCATGCTTTACTCCTCTACCGGTGGTACGCGGGTAGCGTGAATCCGAATGCCATGCCATAACTATAGCAGACAAAAAATACTGGTAGAACCGTAACCCACATATATCATAGCAAATTACCTATCCACCCCCCCCCCCACAAAAGCCCCATACAACCCCAGTACTTACATCACCACCAATCAAACGCCTGGCTTCCCAACTCCCCGGTTTGCCTTGCGGTGGGTGCCAAATTAGACCCCCTACAGCTGTGCGGTACTATCAGATGCGATCATGATTTACGGTAGCGTGGTGCGTCTCCCTTGCTTTGGGGTCTTGAGGTACCAGTATCATACGGTACTTACCATACGGTAGTTCCTGCTTGCCTGTGCGAGTACCTGTACCAGTACTATCCTCACTTGTGGACAGGGTGGAGCTAAGCCAAGTCGGGTCAAGTTGGTCCGATACAGCGGGCTTTCAGACATCCTGGCCCCCGGGGGGAGGGAGGGTCCGAGAATGACTTTTATTGGTTTTATTTTATTTTTAATAGCTCATTGGGCTCACGTGTATTGGCTTGGTAGATGTTAGTGGACGCTTATCTGTGGGAGTGACGGAGTGTGCGAAAACGATGTACCGGAGGCATGGGTGTATGTAGGGAAGAGCGGAAGGGATGAACGGTGTCGCTGTGCCTGTGTGGGCGGTGCATAATTGAATGAGATAAATAAAGCAGAAAAGGCCCATCGTATGGGAAGGACCTTTTCACTATACGCTAATGAAATACACCCAGTTCATACGCTGGCCGCCGGGGGTATATCCGGTTCACTAAGAGTACGATGATCAATTGCAAACGATGTGGAAAAGTGAGGAAAAGGGCCTTATACGTAGAGCCATCTGTGAAGGGGAAAGAAAAAGAGCGAGACAGGAAATGATAGAAGACAGCAAAGAACCAGCCCGGCCCCGCAATGCGGCAAGCCTCTCAATTAAACACTCTCCCAATCCCTGGGGATAAAAACATGGTCGCAACTGGAATTGGGGGAGGGGGGAAGGAAGAGAACAACAACGAAGAAAACAATCCCTTGGCAAATTACTCGCCATGTTCACTATCTCCCAAATGGCGGGGGCGACGCTGGGTTTCTGCCCGTGGACCCCGACAAGTCTCCACTCCCAGTCTTCCTCAATGCCTGCCTCATTGTCTCGATGGTGAGTTCACCCCTATCCATTCCAAAATCGCTGGTGCTTGGTCTAGATGGTGAACTGGCGCCAGATCTCCCGCTGAGTGGTCTCTGCACGGATCCTGACGCGGAATTCCCGGAGGGGCTAGATCCTAATCGAATGGGCGACGGCGAACGGTGTCGAAGTGCCTCATTGATTGTCGGGATACCCGTTTCTCCATCGGCTGGCGATAGTTGAGGGGAGCCGCCCAATGGGGATAGATTATTGATAGAACTCAAGGATGAATTGGGAAATTCCATGTGTTCAGCGTGCTCGGCTTGTTCGGCTTGCACTACATCCGCGAACGATATGAACGACAATCTACGTTTGTCCACTGCGGTTGCGGCCCCGGAGCCCATGCTGCCATTTGGGGAGCATTCGTCACCCGAATGGCCCGCAGACGCAGGTTCGTCTACGGCATTGTCACCGGCAGGTGAGGGCGATCTTCGACGGTGTTGGTGGGTATCATATGTTGGGCTAGATGCAGTGGTCGAGTGAGGTGGTGCAACGACGGACACAGCGGGTTGGTGCATGCTATGCATAATGATCTCGACCTCGTCGACACCACATTTTTCGTCTGTTATTGCTATAGAGCTTGCTTCCAAAACGGCGGGGATGTGGTTCTCGGTTTGGATATGCGCTGGGATCGCGGGAGACGTTGGGGGTGGCAGGGATGAATTGGTTTGCTCTTGAACATTGCGCTCAAATATCTGGGAGCTACTAGTTGATAGGCGTGGGTGGGTTGCTGAGCTGTGGCTTGCTGTGTTGGGTCTGGAAACAAGGTGGGGCGAAGAACTTGAGCCTAATGATTGAATCGGGGGTGTAGGTGACTGGGTTTGAGAACCAGCATTCCTGACGGTTGCGCTAGGAGGGGATGTGGTGATAGGGGGAATATCTGTTAATTTTGGTAATTGCGGGGGATCAGTGGCCAAGGGAGTTGTTGCTTTAGCTGTCGATGGCGGAGCTTCGGGGGCGTCTGTCGGATGCAGCGTGGGGGAAGTCGACTCCTGCGGTGGCGAGCCAGAGTTTGATTTGGTCTTATCCCTCTTGCCCAACCCAAATCTCCTTTTCCAGCTTGTTGAACTGGATTCCACATCTTCCCCTGTGCCTGATTCCTTCGATGGACTCTGTTTCGCAGACAACATGATTTTATTTCCGTGGAAAACGAGACAGTGTAGGGGGTGTTCTCAAGCAGATGGAAACCGGTGCACAGTACAAAGTCTGAGATGGAAATTAAACGTTTCGCCGACGCGCGCCGAGTTGGGTGGAAGGGGGAAAGTGTTGAGTGTCTTCGTAAGGCTACCGTAGGTGTTGTACCGCGACAGTAATGGCCTGTCCTTCTTCTGGTAGAAACAACGGCCCCTTTTGTATTGCCGTTTTGCGGGCTGAGGGCGACGTACGCCTATATAAGCAAAGATAAGATAGGACACAGGCTGAGCGGTGGAAGGCGATGCCTGGTGTGGTGTTGCCTCTTCCCCCACAGGTGGTCTGTCAGGTGAGTTTGACGGGTCTCACTGAGGCGGTGAGGGTCGTCACGCTGGAAGATTTCCAGAAACCGGAACCAAATACTCGTACGCTCACGAGGAGAAATGGTTTGATGTGGAAGCGGATCGGGTAAGAAGGGCACGGGTAAGGGTACGGAGGAATTGGGAGCGGGGGTAGTAAGCCGGAAAAATTCAAGAACTGGGGGGGAATAAGCTGTGGCTTAAACGGGGCAGATTGTTTTCCTCGTTCAGAATTGTTCTGCTGAGTTGAGAACGCTTGGTCAGGGCTCTGGTGAAGATAACGAAGGCTGCGCAACCCAAGTGCGGCGCATTCGCAGACACTGGTATATGATAACGCGCAGCGAGAGGAGGGCGAAGAAGAAAGCGGAACCGCAGCCCTTCTCTCACTCTTCTTTTTATTTTAATCTTACTTTACTCGGGTATACTCATCTACCCCCTCTCTGACACCTCTCTCCTTTCCCCTACTGTAACCGGGGATGTCTCTCGCTGCCCCTCTCGGATGTCTAGTGTGAGGCACGGGCTCTGTACCGGATGTGATGTGTGTGTGCCCGGGTGTCCGGGCACTCGAGCACGGTGGAGCGAGAATTTGTAGCGGGATGGGTGGGGAATCTGACCGATAAAGTACCGTGGTGAGGCCAAGGGCTTATGATGCAGGTATAATAATGGTTTGACCGAGGCGCAAGAGATGATGAGAACAGGAGAAGGAGAATGAGTGATAGTCTAAACGCACGTCCACAGGAAGCGGGGGGCAAGTAAGAATAACGCAGAGGAGAGGAAGAAACAGCCAGATTTGCTCATCTCTCCTCCCCTCTTCATCGGTATGCATTACCGGTAATTTATAGTGTGATTATGATACAGGCACAGGCACTAACCTCCGTACCGTAGTTCCGCGCAGCGCAGTACTAGTCATTACCACGGTGCTCGAGATACTTGTACTATACTCGTACCCGCCCCTTCTGTCCCGGTGTGTGTCCCTATTATTCCGAGATTAGGAATGGATCAAGTGTGACAGGTGGCGGTCGTGTGGACTATGATAGATGTTTTCTATGTCTGGTCAGAGCAAGATCTCCCCCAGCCATACCGGTGCCACCAGTACTCGTACCTTCGGTGACGATCCTGAGTCAACCAAAGGTCATTAGCTGGGCTACGAGTACCGGTAATGTAGAGGACTGCGAAAAACGCACCCAGATCAAGGGATGTGTACCTGGCAAACTATCCATCCTACCGTATCATCGACACTCCTTCCTCTCCTATCACGGCAATCCCCGCAGCGGTAACCACGATACTCAAAAGATATGGTATTTACGGTACTGTACTGTACTCGTGTATGGTCCACGGCATAACGGGAGCTCGAATTTCGAAACAAATCCGACAAACCATCAGAGTTTGTTCCCCCCAGAACACTGGCAAGTATCATTAAATCCTGATACATGGTTCACTTCGTTAACCTATAGCGATCACTGCCGTATACCAGACAATTTAACTTTATTGGACCGGTTATGGATCCTATTTGGCTCGACTCCCGCTACCCGGCACTCGTACCAACACAGTTGGAGCAAACCATTCAGATTTTCTCCAAACGTTAAGGCAATCGGTCGCGATGTTGTTCTCGAATCCCGGTCCAGCCTGAAATTAGGAGGGGGCTATTGACGCGAGACAGAAAGGAAAAAAAGAAAGTCGCAGTCCAAACGAGCCTCTTACATCATTGGACGACTTAGAATCGGAGACCTTAACCTGCTCCTCTCAAGCCTTGGAGACCCGATCCCTTTGAAGCCTGTCGTATTCGGGCTTTATCAAGATAGGTACCGTATAGTATGTCCTTCCCTCCTTTCCTTTTTTCCCATATGGGTATTTTCTTCATGGGGCTCCTATTGGAACGCCTTACGCTGTGCAATATACAGGTACCTCTCCAGGCGGGGCGGATGGAAAGGGTTTGGTAGGCATCACCTTAAACATCTCATGTCTCGCAAGCAAACAAGCAGGGAATTACGCAAACACCCGATAGACTTGCCTTGCTCCCACTACACTAAAACTCAGGTTCAAGCGAAACAAACCTTGCACTACCAACACTATAAGTGCCGGGAGTTTTGAGATCTTCCTACTTTCCTTTATGCGCTTATGTGGGCCCTATCATACCATCCAGCCAGCCAGCCAGTGACCTTCACCTTCTATGGTACTGCACAAGCAGGAAGCCCACCCCCTATATCAATCGGTATGTCTCGCTACTGTAGTCCAGCGTAACAGATACCACCACTATATATCGACCCAGAACATCCAATATACCACATGCTAATTTGGAAAAGTATATTTCCATAAACGGACAAAGCCCCTCTAAGTACTACCATCGTGTAATGCACGTTACGGTGTTGTCGGGAAAACCACTTGCCTTTATTGTATATATGTATGACAAGCCTCAGGCACATACAGCAAAAACTCAAGCATGCTCACCTCACCACAACTTTACTTCGGGCAAGCACAGTGCGATAGAAAGCTTGTCTGAGGCTTCATAACCCCACCCGCCCCCATCTTTTTTTGTTTTTAGAGGAAAGAGATTGCCCATGATAAGCCAACCCTACAGGGGTTTACCGTACCGGTACTACTCAGTAGTTCGGCGGCAGAGTAGAGCAACTAGCTCGATGGCAAGCAATTAAACGGCAAGCAATTGCGAGTAACGAGGAAGTCGCACAAGCGCAAGTATCCTATCACGTCACCTTAATTTAAGTCGATGGAGAAGAGATGGTGCTTGTAAAACCCTGAGTCCAAGTACCGTACTGCGTGCCCGTCCAACCATATTCGGGAGAGGCTTCATCGTAAAGCTCCAAACTGTGGCTTTCATTGGGGGGGGGGGCGAAACATGCGCTGCTTTCCCCACCCCACCTCGACTTCGTAGGCTTCACCAGCATCTTGAGCTGTTCACTGCTTCAACTACTAAGGGTATTCAAAGCTACTGACTATAGATTGACATCCAAAACGGTAGTGAAAATCGGGGTACGTAGTGGGGGTGGCCAGAACACAAAACAGCGAGACCACCTCTTCATGATCAGAGCTAAAGGTTCATGTTTTGAACTGGTGCCGGGAGGTCTGATTTTTTTCAATCTTTGGTTGACGGTTTCCACACTCTTCACAATCAATCACACACAATAAATTTATCTATCCAGGCAGCAGGATTACTCACTCTACCCTATGATGGCGCTAATCTTATTGGAGAAACCTTGACTACATTTTTTTTTTTTTTTCCCGTCCGTTTTTCCAATTTCCTCTTCTTTAATTTGGCTGTTTCTTCCTTCCCGATCTGTTCTGCTCGGGTTCTTCTTACTTCTTCTTACTTCTCTCTCCTTTCCTTTCTCTTTTTTCTTTCCTGTTTTTCTTATAATCTTGACTTTAACAATTTTCGGATTATAATACCAATGGAGATTCCATTCACGTACCAACACAAGGGAGTAGACTAGCAATTAGTACAAATAAGAAAATGAACAAGTTGTCCTTAACTTAGGCTTCAAAATTCTACAAAGTTGCATGGAACAGAACGGATCAGGAGAGGCAAAAGAAGGAGTAAACTATGGTCACAACATTATCCGGTCCACATTACTCAAGTATGGTGTCGTCAGAGTTACTTCCATTGTCAGTTTCCATTGGTTAATTCTATTGGTCATTTATGCAGAGCACAATACACACGGTAATAGTAAAAGACGTAAACGTGGGGTCATGATTGTTAGCCTCGAATACTTGTAGTAATTATTAGTTAATACCGTACCAAGTATATACTCGAGTAGTAAAAGAGAAGAGGCCAATGGTTAACCTAGCCAAGTGAGTGATAGAATATGATACAACTAATCAGCCACCGAGGAAGCTTGACATCCGCCGACAAGATCCTTTCTCGGCATAACTTGACTTGGGGGGAAAAAAGCATGAGAAGAAACAAACTAAATGATGAAAATATTATGGCAGGGATTAACAATTAGATTGGAAAGAGGCGACATTGTAGAATTATATGTGGGAGGTGCAGTGCCTCTACTCCCACGATGGAAACTAAAGTAAGATTACAATGCAGTAATACACTCCTCCGGAGCACTTCAATTCTCCCCCGGACTCCATCGAGAGTTGGAAGTGGAATATTCTTTTAATCAATGTCTACCGCTAAACCAGGTGAAACAGTGAGTATTACGCCAATACCTCCAGCCTGAAAAACTACTATGATGCATCGCCTTCACTTCAAACCCTGTACAAAAGGAGGAGAGGGGGTAACTTGGGATAGCTAAACTGATGGAGTAACCCCATCGTGGTATGTTAGGTTAGGGCGCACTTGTGAGTGTGAGCAAGGCTATTGACCAGACCGCAAGACGGTGACTGGTATTGTGTGAACCCACGAGCGGGTCACCACAAAACTGTATATAGTCAGAGCTAAGACGCTTGCACACCTTATGGGAACACACACACTCTTCGGTGAACACTTGTCATATATATCGAATATCGAACACATCTCCGTTTTCCTATCAGCAACTGACCGGTCTTTCTCGTGACGGCAGTTTGGCCAATAGCTGTGACATTGCGGCACCTGTACAACGGCATATTTCCCTGCGCAGTACCAGACTTCCATTATAAACAAGTTATGGCTAGTGGTTCAAACAACCGACTTCGTAAATATACACCTACAGTAAACACAACTATAGTTCTTTAGCTCTTTAGGCACTAATCCTCCAACAAACTTAAGATTCTCGAACCTCGGAGTTGCCTACTACAATTCCCGATCTTCCTCGATAGGATGCTACAGGCCAAGCCACCAAGTTCTCGAGCCTTATATACGCTAGTGGGCTCTATTAACTTCAGAGCGCATTCGGTGGACAGGACGTGGAGTCCAGAGTACAAATCTGTAACCTTCAAAAAAAAAAAAAAAAAAAAAAAAAATCGAATTCTTCCCCTCCCAATGCCATACATGTCCAGAACAAAATCTCGAAAATGGCCAACAACGGTATCGTGTACAGTGCCTAGGGGGTGATATGCTAGAGTACCTCAATCTCTAGCTCGATCTGGTCCGTGTGCCAGGTACGACGCCGACCCCTTCGATGCCACCGCCTCAGCCCGAGCGTGGCGTAGGAATAACGGCGTAATCTGTTGGAGAACCAGTGGTGGGCTGCTGGGAATTGCACGCATCATGAGCTACTCATTCCCATGCTGGGAAATCGCAATAGGCACGGAGAAGGATGGGAAAGTGCTCTGTGGCGGTACAGTACCGTAGGTGTCAGTTTTTCCCCAGTAACGACTATGAAAGGAAATTGTTCCTGCCATCAGTGCCGCGAAGTTCGGAGAGTGCGCCCCCACTAGGTCAATCA